GACTGGGAATGTGGCTCAGTGGTAGAGTGCTTGCCTAGTGTGCATGAAGCTCTGGGTTCTATTCCTCAATACCACATCACCAGAAAAAGCCAGAAGTGGCACTGTGGCTCAAGTGGTAGAATGCTAGCTTTGAGCAAAAGAAGCTCAGGAACAGTGCCCAGGCCCTGAGTTCAATCCCAGGACTGGCGAAAGAAAGAAAAGAAAGAAGGAAAGAAAGGAAGGAAGAAAGAAAAAGAAGGAAAGAAGGAAGGAAGGAAAAGAAAGAGAGAGAGAGAGAGAGAGAGAGAGAGAAGGAAAGAAAGGAAGGAAGGAAGGAAGGAAGGAGAATTACTTTGGTTTCCCAGTGCCAGCTGCCTATCTCTGCAACATCATCTTTGCTAGGTTTCCTCCCAATCTCTACACTTTTAGGAGTTTTAAACTGATACTGAGGTTTGAACTCAGGACCTCACAGTTGCTCAACTTGTTTGCTTAGCTGCTGCTCTACCACTTAGGCCATACCTCTAGTTGTTTAAGTGAGGTAGCACCCAAGCCCCATGACCAGCCTAAAAAATTGATAGCCTCTTCAACAAATGATTCTGAGAAAACTGGACATCCATATGCAGAAGACTGAAACTGTATCTGTTACCTTGTACTACAGTAATTATCAACTCAAAATGGATGAAAGTCCTTAATGTAAGACCTAAAACCTTTACACACTGCAGAAAGAACTCTAGGTGCTCATCCAATAAGAGAGAGGATTGACAGGTGGACAAATTGACAAATTGCATGAAACTGAAAACTTTCTGCACAGCAAAGGATATAGTAACTAAGCTAAAAAAAAAAAAGGCAGTCTACAAAGGGAGGCCTCTGCCAACTATATGTCTGATAAAGAGGCTAATATGTGTGGGGAGATGGGAAGAGATGGGAAGGGGAAACAAAGGAGGAGGCAACAATGCTTGATAAGAAATGTACTCATTTCCTTGCCCATGTAATTTTAACCCCTCTGTACGGTATTTTCACAATTAAAAAAAAAAAAGAGGCTAATATCCAGAATATATAAACAGCTCAGAAAATTAAACCCCCAGTTAATAAATGTAAAAAGAAACCAAATAGAGGCTTCTATTTAGCTCACTAATTAAGAAGAATATGTCATTTGCTGGGAAATGGATAGACCTGGAAAAATTGCGCTAAATGAAGTAAGTCACAAAGGACTTATACTTTTTTTCTCATAATGTGGAAGTTCTAAATTATCAACATAGGAAAACATATACCAAGCCAAATTATATATATATATATATATATATATATATATATATATATATATATATATATGCAAACAAATTGACTAAAGTATGGTACATGCAGGGGAGGGTTCCAGTGCTGTAACTCCACTGAACAACTAACAGTTTTACAAAATGAATACCAGGAAGTTGAAACATACTTTGCCAGAGGTGAGGGATAAGGAAGGGCCCACCAAAAGGACAAACAAAGGTAGATGAAGCTAGTGCCCTTGGCTCACGCCTGTCATCCTAACTACCCAGGAGGCTGAGATCTGAGGATTGATGTTCAAAGCCAGCTAGGGAAGTAAAGTCCTGGAGACTCTTATCTCCAATGAACCACCAGAAAACCGGAAGTGGAGCTGTGGCTCAAGTGGTAGAGCACTGGCTTGGAGCTGAAGGGCTGAGGGACAGCGCCCAGGCCCAGAGTTCAAGCCCCACGATGACAAAAAACAAAACAAAACAAAACAAAAAGGTGGGTGAATACAGTTATAATATGCAATGTATACATGTGAAACTGGAGCTAGGTAACTTGAGTGGATGAATGGGTTTGGGGGGGATGGGGAAAATGATGGTAGGGGGTGTCATTGATCAAGATACATTGTATTCATAAACTGACATATTGAATTAAAGTTCTTTTGTAGACTACTTAAAATAGTTTAAAAGCAGCAACAACAATAACAAAGTGCTTTAAATGAATGACTCATTAAACCTTAGTACAGTACATTGTTGGAAGAGGCCAGGACAGTCTTAATTTCTGGGCATTCCATATCAGAATTAAATAAAATATGAAATAAAATAGAATTGTTCCAATTTTCTTGAACCTACAAAACTGATTTCTAAGTTCAAATGTCTATAAGTCATTTAAGCTGTTTGTGTTAAATAATGTGTTTTTAATGTGTTATCTTAGCCCAAGGTACTATATAAAAATACTGAAATTTCATTGTATTATTACAAAATTCCATGATTTAAATAAATTATTCGTTTTAAACAATTTTGATGGGCTGGGAAGGTGGCTCAGTGGTAGAGCGCTTGCCTTGCATGCATGAGGCCCTGGGTTTGATTCCTCAGCACCATATAAGCAAAAAGAAAAAAAGCCGGAAGTGGCGCTGTGGCTCAAGTGGTAGAGCGCTAGCCTTGAGCTGAAGAGCTGAGGGACAGTGCCCAGGCCCAGAGTTCAGGCCTCACGACCGGACCCAAAAACAAAATTTTTTTTTTTGAAATTTGTCACATATATACATGTGTATTTAAAATTTTAACATATCTCAATGTTATTTGTATTAATTCATAACAAATATCAGTAGTAAAGCAAAAATCTTAAAAAAAATTAAGCAGCAAATCAGGAAAAAAAATGAATACACAAGCTAAAAATTTTAAGTCATTAATTTGGGAATAAAACTCATTCTTTTTTTTTCTCCTGCTGAATTTGCACATCATTTTTCTTCTTTTATTTATTTATTTTATTTTATTTTTCTGACAAAAATTTCTAATATTATTAAGAATGAATCTTGGGAAATCCTTTCATTTTACCTTATTTTTAATTAAAATATGAATGATCATTTTTACGAAACAAACTTTGAAGGGTCTGTACCAACTTAGGCACAACTACTCATTTTTTTTAATGATGTTATCTAGGTTGCTTGTAGTGGAAGGCGAGGTACTTGCTTCACCTAAGCAGACCAGTTGGCATGTTTGCTTAGCAACAGTAGCTGAAACCTTCTGTTGTGGAACTTTCCCTAGGAGTGAGAAGAGTGGAGGAGGAAAACTGGGAGGAACAGATTAATCTGTTTTTTCTAGCAAGGGATAGAAGCCTGGTCGTTGAGAAGGGAAGCATTTAGATTAGCAAAAACCAGCCTCACACTATAGAAGTAGTGAAGCTTTTAGCTGCATGCTGTTTCCTGCACGCTGAGTGGATGATCCTAGATGGGTTTTTGTTATTGTTGTTCAGGGTTTTTTTTGGACAGGAGTCCAGGCTGACTTGAAACTGGCATCCTTCCTACCTCTTCCTACCTAGAACTGGAATTGTATGCATGTGATGATGCCTGGCCCGCCCTATTGAGTTTTCACCTCTATGTAAATACTTACAATAAAGTTTAGTTACAAATTAGTTGTGGTAAGTAATTACTAACACAAACGAGGGAACAAGCCTTTTGAAATTTATGAATTATTATTCCTGAAATTTTCCATTTAGGTTTTTTTTTTTGGCTCTATTGTCCACAGGTGACTGCTCTACAGAAACTTGTGGAATTACTGTCTTTAGTAATAGATTAAAGAATGGATTATGGCCTTAGCTCACTTCAAAGCAGTAAATTCAATCAATAGAAAGACAGCGCGGGGCGCTGGTGACTCACCCCTATAATCCTAGCTACTCAGGAGGCTGAGATCTGAGGACCATGGTTCAAAGCCAGTCCAGGCAGGAAAGTCCATAAGACTCTTATCTCCAATAAACCACCAGAAAACCGGAAGTGGGCTGTGGCTCAAGTGGTAGAGCGCTCGCCTTGAGCAGAAGAGTGCTAGGACAGCGCCCAGGCAGAAGACATTAGAGAAGTTGGAATCTTAGTAGCAGGAGGATATTATCAACTGTGAAGAAGTTTTTCCTCAGTAAGTTTGGGAGCGTGTGTGTTTCACAATAATATAAACTCTATCCTTTTCAGTGTTCATTTGACCAAGTTAGAGGCACAAGTTGTTTGTCAGTCGTGGGTTCAAGCCCTCTGGGCCTGGGCGCTGTCCCTGCGCTCTTCAGCTCAAGGCGAGCGCTCGACCGCTGGAGCCACAGCGCCACTTCCGGTTTTCTGGTGGTTTATTGGAGGTAAGAGTCTCACGGACTTTCCTGCCCTGGCTGGGTTTGAACCGCGATCCTCCGATCTCAGCCTCCTGAGTAGCTAGGATGACACAAGCTTTTTGTGTTTGTTTTTTACAATACTTTTCTTGCCATTGCTGATCAGGTATATAACTTTGTTTAGAATTACAAATCCTAGCCAGGGCCTGAAGCGGAGTGTCTCGTGAGGAGTATCAAATGTTGTTTTGAAGACTTTATTTTAGATGATTGGTTTCGAAAGGAGTACCGTTTGTTACTAGCACAACTCCCTGTCTAGCCTGTCTCAGAAGCAGCGTTTGCTGTCTGGATTGTCTTGAAGGTGCCTGTCATTCCCCAGCCCCCCGGGAACGCGCGGCCAGGGTGTCCAGAGGCCGGCTCTTCCCTGGGCTCTGCGCTGGTCCTTCCCACCTGGCTGGCCTCGCCCCCGGAGCAGTGGGGCGGCTCGCCGCCTAGGGAGGGCCTGGGACCGAGGCTTGGCCCAGGCAAGATGGATGAGCCTGGACACAATGGGGAGGAAGGAAAGTAGAAAAGGGTCCGGCGCTGAGAAAGCCGCGCACGGGCCGTGCGGGACTCGGATGCAAAGGACAGAAACGCTCCAATTCGCCCGCCACACCTGGCCACTCGTCCCGCCTGAGCTCGGAGGCCGCGGGGCTCAGTTCCGCGGCTGCAGGCGTGAGAACCGGGGCGGGGCGGGGCCGGGGGGGCGGACCTGGGCGGGGCGCGTCACTCAAGCTCCCAGGCACTGCCACGGGTGACTCAGAGCTTTCCGCCTCGCCCCGCCCTGCCCTCCCAGGGCCCCGCCCCACCCTCCGGTGGCCCCGCCCCGTCCCCAATGGCCCCACCCCCAGAGGGGAGGAGTCTCGCTCTGGTCTCCGCCCCAGTCTCGGGGCGGGCCGGAGTCTGAGGAAGAGGAAGGGGGACGAGGACAACGAACGACGGGGCGGCGAAGGGCGAGCCGGAGGAAGAGGAGGCCGACCAACAAGATGGCCCCTGCTGCAGGAGCAGCCTCGGCAGCAGCAGGTTGGGGGCTGGAGGCGGCGTTAGCGGTGGCGGTGACGGCCGTGGCCCGGCGGCCTAGGACAGAGTCAGAGTCGATGATGGCAGCGGCGGCGACGGCGGCTGCCGCGGCGACGGTGACGGCCGCGGAGACTCGGAGCTGAGAGGAGCTGCTGCTCGGACCAGCGCGGTGAGCGAGCGAGCGAGCGAGCGAGCGGCGTGGGGAGCGGGGCGGCCGCGGCCACCGTCGGGAACAATAGGCGGCCGCGGCGGGCCGGGCGCTGTCCTCGCCCGCCCTCGGCTCCGGGCCGGCGCCGCGGCTCGGCTTGTCAGTGGCCGGCGTCCCTTAGGCCTCAGGCCTCCGCGTGCCGCGGGGCGGGCCTGCCCGGGGCGGTAGGCCGGGGGGGGGGGGGGGTGCGCTGCGGACGCCGCTGTGGACCGGGGGCGGGGAGCGGGGGGAGGCCGAGGGAGGCCCGGGCTGGAGCGAGGGGGCCGCGAGGGGGCGGGCGGGCGCCTCGGAAATGCGGGGCAGCCCCCTCGTCCGTGGGGAGGGGACCGGGGAGGGAGGAGGACGTCTGTAAACAGGCGCCGCCTCGGCCTGCCAGCCAACTAAGACCTTCCTCCCGCAACCCCGAACGGGGGCTTTGACTGGGTCCGTGTCCCCGGAGCCGCGGGAGATGAAGCCCGCAGAGGCAGGCTTGCCACCAGGCTGCCATGGAGAAGCTGTGTTTGCAGGTGTCTTTATCTATTTTGTTCAAGACGTTAAGTGTCACAACCTCCCCCCCCCCCCAAATACAGTGGTTTTCGATAAACCCCTCCAAAACACCCCTAAAAGCATCAGCATCAGGTATGCCCCCCCCCCACCCCAGCCCCCATGGTTAAGGGTGAATTGGAACAAGGGCTCTTTTGGAGCGGTAATAATATAAGTCTTGGCATCCCAGAATAGTCTCTGAAACTGGAAACAAAGGCACTTACGGGCAAAGCGGAAACCGAATTGTATGGTTTGAACCGAACTTTTCCTCCAGCGAGCCTTTTCGTGAATTATTGATGTGTAGCACAAGGGGACTATCATAGGCACAAACGTACTTCTGGAGGCCCTGCTTCAGAAGGGCGCCGCGGTCTGCCCTTCAACTTCTTGTGGTCCTTCTCTTGTTCTGATTCTTGCCTTTTACTAATTTGTTCTACTCTTTCCACCGAGTTTGAAACTATATTTTCTGAAGCATATTTTGTTAAGATTTGAAAACTTTCTAAGTAACTTTGACAGACTAGAAACAACTGTAGTTCTGTTTTGAATGTTTGGGCTTCATCGTGGCAACCCTTTCTTTATGTTTGTGTATTTTTTACTGCAGTCGTATGTGAAACATTAACTATTATTTCTGCTAAGGTTAAAATTCCAAGGCATTTACACTTATTTCCAAGTGAGGAAAAAAGATTATGTTCCACTTTGTACCTATGAATTAAAGACATTAATACTAAACTTGCTTGAATACATCCAAGAAGATTGCTTTCCAGTGTTGAGTGTTCACTTGCATAGTCTATGCAAGGACTTTAGCTTGCTTAAAATTTTTAAAAAATTATCTTTAAGTGTACAAAGAAGGTGCTACATAGTTTGTGAATACAGTTCATCCTGTTCAGTGTCACCCCCTTTAACATTTCAACATTCTCCCCCCTCTTCTACCCACTCCTTCATTTTTCTCAATTTTGTGGTATATACAACGAATCCTTGACTAGATTCCCCCTCCCTTCATTTGTGAACCCCTCTCCTCTTGGCCCCACCCCTTCGTTTGGGTGTACCCATTTCCTAATGTTGATTTTATTGGGCTTTGACCAAATCTTTCTAAAACATTATACTATTTGAGCTCTCCATAGAGTCTGTAATGCTTCAGTTAATTCATTTGTAATCACTTGCATACTGCCCAGGTTGTTTAGAGCTTGTGTTCTGTTTGTGTTTTTAAATTCTTTTCTCTTTCTACCCTCTTCTATCCTCCATTATTTCTCTCTCCCTCTCCCCTGACTCTTTTACCCTCCTTCCTCCCTTCTCGTCCCCCCTCCCCCCATCTCTCCTTCCTCTTACTTTTTTTTGAGATCCAGTCTTGCTTTGCAATCTAGTCTGGCTTCCTCAGGCTTTGATTCTTTCTGCCTCAGCCTCCAGAATTACCAAACCCAGCTTAGTTCACATTCTTAAAAGTGAAGTGTGCAAAGAAAGTAGTTAATAGCTTTCACCCTTTTTTTTTTTTTCAGACAAATTTCTGGTTAGGATTGGTACTTGTCTGCCATCATTAAAGAGCATTGTCAGGTTATGTGAAATAAACTGGGCAGCAGTGATTCCTAGTTCTAGTTTTCGAGTAAGAGTTTATGATAGTAAATAGTAATTGGATAAACATGGAACTTGAACTGTTTTGCTTAAAATTTATAGTGGATGAATATCAGTAAGGCTTTTTATTTTATACTTTGCATAATGTGGATGTTTTGATCTTTTCAATGGTGGAAAAAGAACAACTTCTACATAACTCCTACTAATGTCTTTTTGAGGCATAAGTATTTTAGAAACTTTTTGTAAGTGCTTTAATTTGTCATTTTTTTCCCCATGTTAAATTTTATTAAGTCCATATAATTTTAAGGTTTGTATTGTGATAATGCTTATTCATCTGTGATCCTAAACCTCTTAGAACAATTGTACTAGTTTATGAGTTTGTAAATTTTTTTTTTTTTTGTCGGCCGTGGGGCTTGAACTCTGGGCCTGGGCGCTGTCCCTCAGCTCTTCAGCTCAAGGCAAGCGCTCTACCACTTGAACTACAGCGCCACTTCCGGTTTTCTGGTGGTTTATTGGAGATAGGAGTCTCACGGTCTCTCCTGCCCGGGCTGGCTTTGAACCTCGATCCTCAGATCTCAGCCTCCTGAGTAGCTAGGATTACAGGCTTGAGCCACCAGCGCCCGGCAAGTTTGTAAATTTTAAATGGTTAATGCAGTTTAAGGGAAAAAAATTCATGTGTGTTTTTTTTTTTTTTCGCCAAGGGCTGACTTAATTTGTTATTTTCCTGAAACAAAGTTTTGGTTTTTTTTTTTTTTTTTTTTTTTTTGTCGGTCGTGGGGCTTGAACTCTGGGCCTGGGCGCTGTCCCTCAGCTCTTCAGCTCAAGGCGAGTGCTCTATCACATGAGCTACAGCGCCACTTGTTTTTTTTTTTTAAGTAAGATTTTATTTTTGAAATTGGGTATTGATCAAACTTACAGGGTAAATCTGAGTCACATTTTCAGTTTGAGATGATAAATTTCCTGGGGAATTGTTTTTATTTATTTTGTGTTAAAGCTATTTAACGTGTGATTCCATAATCATATGTTCTGTACCAATGCTTAATCTATTTCAGTTCAGATTTTCTCCAGTAATATTTAAATATTTCCTTACAAGAAGTTTCTGGTGGGAGAGGACATTGTAGCTTGGGAATTAGTTTTGTTGCAGAGTGTAGCTGAAGTAGGCAAGGGCTAGGCCTTGGATTCAGTCCCTGGTACTGTAAAAATAAATACATACATACAATTGCATTTAATGTTCATTATCATTCATATTTGATTCATTAGAAGAGACTGGAGAGGGTAATTTGTACATAATATAAATGACAGGAATGAGAATATGGCTCAGTGGTAAAATGCTTGCCTAGCATTCCTGAGAATCTGAGCACTGCAAGAAAAAAGTCCAAAACAAACAAAAAACAGTTTTTTAGAGCATATCTGTTGAATGAATAACATGTCATTTAATACTAGTTATGCAACAATGTTTTATTGTCTTTATTTTACATATAAAGAATCTGAGTCTAGGAGAAGCTAAGTAATAGCAAAAAGGACACATAATTACTAGGAAGGAATGTGCTTGTATCTAGGTCTTGTGACTGTCACCATATGCATCATTATTATACTTAGAGGATCTTTTGAAGAAGTCTGTTGACAGTTTCCATTTTTATACTGTGAACTATGTTTTCTAACACTATGTTTATCTTTAGTCCTGATTTGCTTTCTGTTATTATTTGTACCCTGTCAGCTATTCATGTTTAAGTCATTTAAATACTTAAGAATTCAGGGCTGGGAAGGTGGCTCAGTGTTAGAGTGCTTGCCTTGCATGCATGAGGCCCTGGGTTCGATTCCTCAGCACCACATAAGCAAAAAGAAAAAAGCCGGAAGTGGTGCTGTGGCTCAAGTGGTAGAGTGCTAGCCTTGAGCTGAAGAGCTGAGGAACAGCACCCAGGCCCAGAGTTCAGGCCCCACGACCGGACCCACCCCCCCCCCCCCCAAAAAAAAAATACTTAGGAATTCATTTAAATACATAGGAAACACTTGTTTTTGTTTTTAGCAGATCTGAATACTGTATATTACAGACTTGTTCTGTTTATGTAGGATAGATTTATGGTATTGCTATAATTGTTTCATGGCTCTTACTATGTAAGCAGTTACTGTACCTTTGAAATGCTTATGACACTTTAAAAATAATGAGTAACATTCAATAATGTTAAAATTGGGTCAGCTAGTGTTTGACATTCTTCATTTATGGCAATTTTTTCCCCCATTTAAGCCACAGACCATTTAGAATTCTGTTGCATTTTTAGTTTTAGCTATTGGAGTTTGATAGAAGTTTGGTGGGTCTAATTAGTTTATTCTTACATATATCTTGAGATTGGTCAGAACCCAACAAAAGGAAGAATAAACTGATAAGTGATCCCTGTTGGGTGAACACTTTGGATCAGGATGTTCCTTGGCTGCGTATTCTGACCTGGTTTAGCTTTGGCCCTGTCAGGATTGAGTTCAGAGGGACTTAACTTCTCAGATTGTCAGCTACCAAAACAGTCACAAATTTCATAATCAGGTTAGCCTCATTGCCTAAAATCCACTCTAATAACTTTTTCTTTTGTTTAATCCTGGAGAATAGGCTGAATTTGGACTAGCATTAGAGGTTATAAGAAGCATTTTGCTAGGCATTTATGAAAATGAATTTTTCTCACTCCAGAAGTTCTTCACATATTCATTATACTTTCAAGTCTGAGTTCTGCCATCTCTAGTAATGTGACCCCTACAAAGATAATTAACCTTAGCACATTATTTGTTTTTGGCTAGAATTGTTTATGTTTACTTCCTAAGTTGAATTTTTTGGTTGTTAATTGTTACTATTGTTGCTATGTAGCTCAAGTTGGCCTTGAGCTTGCTGC